AAAAAGTATTTATTTATAATAAATAAGGTATCAACCTTTGCTTAAAATATCCTTTTTATAATGGAGACTAAGTGTTAGAATTCAATTCTAAATTGAATTCAGGTGTATAGGAATTGTCAACAACAAACCCATTTANATATATATATATATATATATATATATATGTATGTATGTATGTGTCCTAATTAAGAATTGGTCATGTAGATCTTATACATATTTTAAAGTCCTTGAGAAAAAAATTACTTTGAGAAAGTAATAGTGCAATAAAAAGTCTAGATAGAAAATACTAACACAAGAAAATTATTTCTTGTTCCTCTATTTTTGAGTTGAGATTTTTGAGAAAAAATTTCAATACAATATTTTCATTCAATTTGTTCGCGTGGTTTCATTAACCAAAGAGTTGATAACAAGGATCAGTCTCGGTGTGAATACGCATAGAGTCTTCGCACTATCGAAGAAATTTAAAACGACTCTCTTCACCAGATACATCTTAAATCCGATCTTTGACATGTAAATAAATATTAAACATGAAAAATTCTGCGTAAAATTATTATTATCTTCCGTTGCGTATTATGAATACATCTGTGCAATCCTAACGCAGAACGTTGGAAGAAGGACGACAGAAAATAAAGCAAAGACGACTGCTGACAATTACAACCTAAAGCTTTCTAGACTTTCGAAGTTATTATGCTGACAGGGAGACCCTTTTTAGCGACAACCATATAAAAATAAAAGTGGTTTTGTTAGAATCCTATTTTGCATGAAAGCTACTACTACCAGTTTATCGTGTAGAAATAGTATTCACTAGCCACATTTTGGTCCTGTATAATAAGCAGTATCCTGAAGTTTTAAATTTCACAAGTGAAAATTTGAAGTTAAACTCCATAATATTGGCTATTTTTTAAATTACATAACTGAAAACTGGTTTATTTGTGAATTTTTCCTGTTTATTTTTAACTTGATAATGAATAAGTAACTTAAAAACATAAGGAAACACTGACAATAGAGAGATTTTGTATCACACAAGTTTATTAAGGACTTCCAAGTTCCATCTACCAGAGTGTATAGTCCAACGAGCTGGGCCAAAATCAAGTATGTTAGTTGGCTAAATATAGTATGTGGTCATACTACACTAGAATGCCGAACTTTCATTCAGTAATGTAAACTTACTCATTAATCAAATGCAAGAAGGAAAATTTGTCTCTTTGGTTATATATTTTCACCACGCCTTTCACTTAAAACTAGAGTCAATATGCACATGGCCCGACAGTTATTTAAATATAATCGCGTGCGTACTCAGGAACGTGGTGTATATTATACAAAATGGAGAGAAGATGAGGCTGGCTCTGTGGCTCATGGCCATTTTTAAAAGCATTATCCTCCACTTAATGCTGTAGAAAGGGAAAGCAAACCAGCCTAAGCACATCTTTAAATATTCTCCACTTTTTGTCTTCCTTAATCATTCATTACCTACTATCCCCTAAACACCATTAGCTGCATTCACATGTTAATAAACAACCAAGTCTAAACTTATACATAGTCCACATCTGTTACATCTCAGGTCTCCCAACCTAAAAATCAATTCTTGAAATAGCTCTCCTTTCTCTACTGACCTACTGCATGTAGGTGCTTCTTGGATACAGCTTCTGTGGGGAAGTGTTTAAGAGGTCAGAAATGTTCTTGTTTCTGGTTAATTGTCTTCTCTTCTTTGCCAACATCTTAGCAGTATTTTCAGCATCATTGCCTCAAGATGCTGTTCATCTACTTGGGTTCCGCAGCAGTCTCCCAGAGCCCTCTCAACAATTGCTCCCTTGGAATCAGTCCATCTCACACTGCCAATGGAAAGGTGTTTCCTGCTCTTCAAACAGAACCCATGTCGAATCATTGAAGTTTACAGACTTCCTTCTATCTGGGATCTTGGACAAGGCCTTTCCCAATCTTTGCCGTCTTCCTCACATGGTCTCTCTTGATCTCAGTGGCAACCATTTCACTGGTGGCATCCCCGCTATGCTCGCAAACTGCAGCCAACTTGACACGATTTTCCTCAACGACAACAGATTTTCAGGATCCATCCCCCCAGAGATTTTCAAATCAAGCAAGCTTTTACAACTTGATTTGGGTTACAATCAGCTCAATGGCACCATTCCTTCTGAGGTAGGCTTTTCTACAAGCCTTCAATATCTCGGGCTGTGGGAAAATTCCCTTAGTGGAAACATTCCAAATGAGCTATTTGATTTGCCAAACTTGACAGATCTCTACCTCCAAAGAAACAATCTAACAGGACCTCTTCCAGATTTCCCATCCTCGTGTTCACTTTCCCAGCTTTATATTTTTGAGAACCATTTTTCAGGTTCTTTGCCAATTACCCTGGGTAATTGTCACAACCTTACTGCATTCTACGCATCATCTGCTAATCTTGGAGGAGTTATTTCCGCAGAGGTTTTTAGAGGCCTTTCAAACCTCAAGAATCTCTCTTTAGATGATAACCACTTTATAGGGGAAATTCCTGAAACCTTATGGACAGGGAGCTTACAAGAGTTAGTTCTTTCCCTCAATAAGTTTAATGGAAGTATATCCGAAAAGATTGGAGGCTGTCATCAGATAACTTACATTGATTTGTCAGTTAACAAATTAACTGGTCAGATTCCCAGGTCAGTTGGACGTCTGAAGAATTTGAACAATCTTTATCTGTATAAAAACATGCTTAGTGGTTCATTACCAGCAGAACTTGGAAACTGCTCTTCTCTTGTTGAAATCAATCTCGTCAATAACTCCATCAGTGGGGAACTTCCTTCAGAACTTTGCAACCTTCAAACCCTAGCAAAATTTTATGCATTCAAAAATCAAATTCGAGGTCAAATTCCAGAATGCATAGGCAGAATAAGCGGACTGGAGGAGTTAGGTCTTTATGAGAATCAATTGACAGGCAAGATACCACATGGAATTACAAATATGACGAAACTTGCATTTCTTTCTTTGGCTCATAATAACCTTACCGGGGAGGTGCCACCAGATCTGGGGAAAAAAAATGTTCCTGGCTTATTTAAGGTTGATTTAGGTTATAATAACCTCAGCGGACACATTCCTTCTGAAATATGTAATGGAAACAGGCTTGGAGTCCTGACTCTTGAATATAACCGTTTCAATGGAAGCTTCCCAACAAGTATCGCAAAATGCAAATCTGTATATAGAGTGAACCTTCTCAACAACAATCTGCAGGGGAGTATTCCTGACGACATTGAAAAGAATGAGAATATTTCTTACTTGAATGTTCGAGGAAATATGCTTGCAGGAAGGATTCCAGCAGCGTTTGGCTACTGGACTAATCTTTCAACAATTGATCTTTCAGAAAATATGTTTTCTGGCTCCATACCTGCAGAATTTGGAATGCTGCAAAATATTGTAAGACTGAGAATTTCTTCAAACAGACTGAAAGGACAAATTCCACTTCAGTTGAGTTACTCTGCGAAACTGGCCGAATTGGATCTCAGCAACAACAGTCTTTCAGGAAGAATTCCGAAAGAAATTGCATCATCTTCAGTATTGACAAATCTTCTGCTGCAGGACAACAAACTTTCTGGTGCTCTTCCGGACACTTTCACCTCCACACAAAAGCTTATAAAGCTGCAGCTGGGGAACAACTTGCTCGAAGGCCCAATTCCATGCAGTCTGAGTAAACTTAGGCAACCTAATTTTGCACTGAATCTGAGCATGAATAAGTTTACTGGTGAAATTCCTAGATGCCTAGGCAATCTAGACACACTGGAGGTCCTTGATATATCAAGCAACAACTTGTCTGGTGCAATACCATCAGAAATGGACAAGATGATAACCCTGTCATTTCTCAACATATCATTTAATAACTTGTCAGGGCAGATACCCATTTCATGGGGAAAACTATTAAGTTCACATCAAGGATCTGTCCTGGGAAATCCAGGACTCTGCTTATCAGGCGCTCAAGGTAGTAACTGCAAGCATGTGAAAAAATCACATGTAAAATGGAAGACTTTGGCTGGTGTAATTAGTGGATGTGTGCTGTCCATGGCAATCATAGTTGCTGCAACATACTTACTAGTTACTCGGCGTCCTAAGCATCAGCTCATCAAGTGTCAATCAGGGCTTGATGATCTACCAGATGGTATAAGTTTTGAGGACATTGTACATGCAACAGAGGGCTGGAGCGAAAAATACGTTATCGGAAGAGGCAAACATGGAACAGTCTATAAGATGGAAACTGTGAAATCCAAAAAGCATTGGGCTGTCAAGAAGATTGATTTAGCTGAGAGAGCATTCAATGATGAAATGACAACCCTAAATCTAGTCAGACACCGCAATTTGGTAAAACCGGGAGGATACTGCATCAGACACGGATATGGCTTCATTCTAACAGAATTTATCCCTGGGGGGACTCTTCATTATGCCCTTCACCAGAGTAGACCACCTGTAGTCCTGGACTGGGAGTCCCGCCATCGTATTGCTCTTGGTATAGCTCAAGGTCTGTCATATCTTCACCATGATTCTGTCCCTCAAATCATTCACAGAGATCTCAAATCAGATAATGTAATGTTGGATTCTGAAATGGAGCCAAAGATTGGAGACTTCGGGATTGCTAAAATAGTATCAGATTCTGATGAAAACTCATCAAAGTCCACAATTGTTGGGACCCTAGGATACATTGCTCCAGGTTAGCCACACTTTACTACGCTAATTTCAGTATAATTCAGCTGGCATATTACTTTGATCAGCTAATCACTTTTATTACTTTCTCCCCTGACCCCTCTATGTCCTTCTCCCTCCATCAATTCAGAGAACGCATACTCAGTTCAATTGACAGAGAAAAGTGATGTGTATAGCTATGGAGTTGTTCTACTGGAGCTCTTCTGCAGAAAAATGCCAGTAGACCCCAGCTTTGAGGAAGGATTAGACATCGTTTCCTGGGTTAGGAAGTACTTGCAGAGAAGCAACAATTTCTTTTGTTTTCTTGATGAAGAAATTCGCCTCTGGGATGCAGAAGTACAATGGAAAGCCCTGAAAATAGTGGATCTGGCACTTCAATGTGCTCAACTCGAGGCAAATGCGAGGCCTGCGATGAGGGATGTAGTAAGGTCTCTTGTCGAGTTAAATCATAGATGTAAAGAGAAGAAATGAAGCTTTTAACACTGTAACTCGGTTCATTTTTCCAACTTCCAACATAATACATGATCCTGAATCTTTCATTTTAACTTTCTGACAACCAATGCAACAACACAGATTAAAAAAATGAATGATGTTTCCAGTACAAATTTAAAGTATGTCCTATTACTTCCTCCAGCTGCTCCAAATTTTGAACAAATTTCAGGTTTTAAAATTAAAAAGAGAGCAAGAATGGACAACGCATTGCTACAATCTAGTCCTATTTTGTGGCTTATAAAAAGAAAGAAGACTAGAAAAACAGCACTTCACAATCAGCAGAAAAAGATAGATTTTGTTGGATTTGATAGAACTAATGATGATGGCTCCTGCAAAAGAATGCAAGAATCGATGATGTCTGCCTTGCCCTTCTTCTTTGAGTACCAGACTTCCAATGACTGAATAATTTCTAGAAAAGAAAATCAAAGAGGATATGATGAATAGAAATAGTTTGTGGAACAATCATTATATTTCATGCAAATACAGATTTAAATAAAAGAGACATAACTCAGGTATGGGTTATGACAGAACTTCTAACAAGACTTGACTGAGAAATGGCAAATCAAATAGGAAAATCAGAAAATGAGAGTATAATAATAGTCCTTGTAGAATTAATCAAAACTCAGTAGAAAGGAAATACTCAAGAGGTGCAAGAATAAATTGGTACTGCTACTACAAATGACAAACAGATGAAAGGCATGTCTCAATTATGAAAACTGCAGCACCGGAGTTAGTACAATGCGCACTAATCATCAGAGTAGAAAAAGTCCAATTGAAACCTTTTCAGAATCGTATTGTTTATCCAATTGACTTGGATGTGCATTACAAACAAATCCACGCAAGATTTTGACTACTTTCAGGTTAAGTTTATTCATTAGAATTTGCATTGGACATACTCACATGACAACACTACACATGTTGACAAGTTTCGGACTTCTAGCAATAGAACTTCCATTTTGGAGTCAGATCCACTAAATTCCCAAACTTCTACACTTAGAAATGCATTTCCGCGCCAAAATATTTGAGACGAAGTCCTAGAATTTGGTGCTTGCTCCAGTACCAAAGCTAGTGCAAGCAGCTAAAAAGAGAAAGTATAAAACATTGAAGAGAATAGTTTAGATACGCGATAAGCCGATAACCAAGATTGAAGAGGAAGAAGTTCTGCATAGTTTCTCAAAAAGAGCTAATCATATTCTACATCCGATCACATTGCTGAAGTTAAAAGTATAGTCATAAATGTTTGAAACCCTAGTCCAAAGGTAAGGTCCCTAGAAACAAGAATCTACAGAAATGCTCCAAGAAACAAAGTAACATACTCAAAAGCTTTTCAAATAGCCTCAAGGTGAAGAATTTAAAACAAGGTTAGACTTGTCTGCTTCCTCAGTCTAATAAAGTATGATTCAGGGCTCAGGAGTTTGTCTACTTTGAATTTAGAGAACTACTCCATTACTGGCTATGTTACCTACAACTAACTTGTAAATTAACAGCTCAATGGACCTATACATTGTCTTGTTGGGTATTCGAATACTTACAACCAGCTAAATTGAACAATAGTTTATTAATATACATGGTCTATGGACTATTAAGCACAGAGCAACATGACAATATTTTCAATGAAAGTAAAACATCACCATGAGGAGGATGGAATGTCCAATCACGTCATAAAGAATTAGATACATAATAGAGCTTGGCAATCTGTTTGATTAACACTAAACAATGCTAACTTTTAGAAAAAGCTCGAGTTCTACAATTCTTTCATATTTTCTTCACAACTGTTCCAATCAATCATGATAATGTATATCTATCTGCAAGAATATTTCAACGAAACATATTTTTTGTCATTTGATTTTACATATATTAAATGAAATAAAGGACCTAAAAGTCAGGTTACTAGACGAATATTGATAAGTTCCAAACCACATCTGTTTGCCTCAATCTCTTTTTGTCAATCAATACCATTATACATGATAAGGGAACAAACTTAAAGGACAATATGATGTATACCAGCTTTTGCATATGATCAATGATGGATCAATTCCTAGTTGACGCAAACATGACAAATAAAGCCTATGGCAAGATACGGAACCAACAAAACCTCTCCCGCTCGGTGTATTGAAGTCCATTGCCCCCATTCTGGGTACTCAATAGAAGTCCAAAACATATCGAGTATCTAATTACCAAGTCTACCAGATGAGTTCCAGAACTGGAGATTTCAAAAGGTTTTTTTTACTGATTAACCAGCTGACTAAGAAATAACACTATGCTGCTAGGTGAAATTACATTGTTACATTGTCTCTGTATAGGTCACACGTTTGAGCCGTGGAATCAGCCACTGATGCTTGCATTAGGGTATATCGATAGACTACCTACATCACACCTCTTGGGGTGCGGCCTTTTCTGACCCTGCGTGAATGTGGGATAATTTGTGCACATGCTTCCTTTTTATACTATATATTGAATCCCTCGGCTTCTTTGTCTATTTAATTCTCTATATTTTGACTACTTTTAGTGAAAATACTGGTTATGCCACGAGCTAACTAGTGAAATAATAAAGCAAGGATGTGAAGAGAAAAGGAAGATATGAGAAATATATTCTTGAGCAATAAAATAGGAAGATGAAGAGCATTATTTGATCGCGAAGCTGCGAACCAAGAGCACACAAGAGATATCAGCAACATCAGACTTTAGTCACAGTCATAATACGCCATCTATTCTGTTGTTTTTCACTTGAATCAGCTTCAGATTCTTTGTTAAATTTTAGAGAGCCGAAATTGGGAAAAGCATTGTACCTGTTGATTGATGGATCGGAGCATGGGAAACAAAGCAATTCAAATTATAAAAGATAATGCATAGCTATTACTACTTCAGAAAATCATTTTTGAACATTAAATAGATTGGATTGATATAATTTTGTGAAGCTCTTTTCAGTTTGTTTCCAATTTGCTTGTGGCCTTGTGGGGTAGTGATGCTGAGAGCACTAAGTTTTATTTACTGTAACAATAATTGATTATAATAAGTTACTTTGATAGTAAGTAAAATTCTGTGACTTCAGTGTTAATATTTAATTACTTTATGTAACAAAAATAATTTTTAACTTTATTGTAATAGTAAGTAATATTTAATTATTTTAATATGATAAAAAAATAATTTTATGAATTCACTGGTATAGTGCATAATGTTTATGGTGTGTTTGGTACGAAGTAAAACATTTTTCGAAAAATATTTTTCAATTTTTTCATGTTTGATTGGCATAAATATTTTGGAAAATATTTTCCTCCTGAACTCATTTCCGTCCAATTGGAGGAAAATATTTTCCCTATCAAAAGAAGGGAAAATATTTTTCAAAACTTTTCATCAATCTTGCCCACTCTATTCCCCATCCCCACCCCTCACCCCTACCCAAACTCTTCACCCTCCGTCCTAAATAAAAATATTATTAAGAGTACTTTTGTTACTTAACTTTTATTGTATCGTATCGTTAAATCCGTCGTTACATAACGACGAAATGTGCCACTTTATGTAACGACCGATTTGGTGTGGTCGCGTCGTTACCTTGTCTTTTTCTCTCAATCTCACCCTTTATTATTATTAAATTATTTTATTTTATCATTTACCCTATCTTTTTATATAGTAATTTTACCTTGCATCATAAATTTTCTTTATAATATTGCAAGTTTATTCTTTATAATACTGGTGCGTGATATCATGAAACGATGGCAAACGACACAATCTGTCCAAACATTATATTTATTAAACGATACAGTACAATACAATACATTACGATACGATACCTTATGAAACGATGCGTAACAACCGGCTGTTAGTGAGTAAAATTAACCTTGTTTTCTTAACGGTTGAAAATAACTATTAGTACCTTAGGTTGTGGAAAAATACAATGTAACTTTGAAGTGCTGTAATTAAAGGCTTCAGGGATGTCTCACATAAAACTACTAGGATTACATGATAGATATAAAGTCATAATTTATTCCAAAATGTTCGTCCAAAGTAATGTTTTAAAATTAGCATTCAATGTACTCTTTGGTCATTGTTTTGTTTATCACTGTTCACTTATAAATGGTCTAGCACCATTCTTTATTTGAACCTAGCTCCAACCGTGCACTGAGAAACTTTGAACCCTATTAAATTTTTAACACAATAAATTTTATATGTCAAAATATCTCGTGAAAAAATTAAAAATTATTCCATATTTTTGACTATGTTGTCTATATGTTATAACTAGATGAGTGTTGTCCGTGCATATCACGGGTCCAACAATTTGTATTGTAATTGTGTATTTACATGTGATTACGACTCTAAATAATAACAAATCATTAAGAATAACAATAAATTCACAAACACAGAAGAACAGTTTCGTCTTTGGTCAATAGTGATTGAAATATAAAATATATATTACCTCCCTTAGGGGCCGGCTGACATATGTAAAACTGAGCTAATATTTATTCTTTTGTGCTTTTCTATTCATCACATTTACAAAATTAAACCCAAGCATATGACTAATTTCTCATCTCCTACCTCTCATTCTATACTACATGATCAACCACATGTACCATGATTATGAGTGTTTACGCCATGTACGCACAACAAAAATCACATAGTCTCATTGAGAGCCATAAAAAGTATTGCAAAAATTTGTGCCTGGAGACATCATACTTCATATATGTCATGGCCTCCGTCAAAAGAGCTTCTTGCTCCTATTCCAAGAAGAGAATATAAGATATTAGATATTTTTTGTTAATGAGTACAAGTCCCGCACCAAGAATTTGAAATACACCATGATATAAAAATAAGCTAGAGAGAGAGACTATCCTAGAGTAATGTACCTAAGTGTCAAGTTACACTCCTTTAGAGAAGATGGAACAATATAATTAAAGGCAAGACATTATTACTACAGTCTAAGGATGCATCATAAATTAAAGAGTATGAGATCCTCCTATTCTTAAGATTAAACCGGTCGACAATTACGAATTTTTTTTGGAGGAATACTAATCCTTGTTTTTTCTTTGATAAGCTAACTCTGACAACTATATCGATATGCCGGAATTTAATGCAAATAATCTTCAAAAAAGTTGGTCGATATTTACTCACCCTCAAGTAAAAGGAAAGAAAAAGCTCAATCATATGAGTAGCAAATGACTAAAAAGTCCATTAGTTATCAAGAACATAAATAGTTATGAAGTAGATACATTGATATGATTTCTATCACCATTATAAAAATAAAATATGGACTTATACAAGAATTTTTTTATATCATGTCAGCATTATTTAAGTGTCGGTGCTTGTAAATAAACTTTCTTTTTATTGCTCATCACAAAAAGAAGGAAAAAATGAGAAGGCAAAAGAACCTACTTCGTAACACTACAAGTACCAAACTGAAGTCCCATAAGCTTAGATATTTAAAGAAACCATTAATTCTTTGTTTACAGTACAAACTCTTGAAGACACTTGCCACATAGCACATTTCATAAATCTAGATATGTGCAAGGAGTTGTTATTGATCAAGATTGGACTCTTTTGAATTTAATTTGTCTTTGGTGAATAATCAGTCTATACCAAATTCAAAAAATGAAAACAGTTTAGATTTCAAGAAATATTGTAGAAGATGCAATATGAATACCTTCTAATTAGAAAATGTCCTTGAAGAAATAGTCAGCTTAAAGGTATTAGAAAATACCTTCTGTAAGCACGTGATTTTTGCCCAATATGAAAATTACTCCCAAAAAATTCAAAAATAAAATGATTTTTCTTTGGTGTGCAATTTTGTGATATTTTGAATAATTATTTGTATTTGTCTGTGCGTGTTTATTTGCTAAATTAATTAAAAAAAATATACAAAAATATGTCACATTTTGCATATAGGATTTAATTCTACAATTGTTAGTAATTAAATTTGTNTGATTTTTCTTTGGTGTGCAATTTTGTGATATTTTGAATAATTATTTGTATTTGTCTGTGCGTGTTTATTTGCTAAATTAATTAAAAAAAATATACAAAAATATGTCACATTTTGCATATAGGATTTAATTCTACAATTGTTAGTAATTAAATTT